TAAAGAGAGAATAATAAAGAGGCACAGAATTAAATAGGGGGAGTAATTATATAGCAATTAAATAAAACGATTAAAAAAAGAAATTGAACGGAGCAACACCTCAGGATCAGTAGAGTCCTGGAAACCCGTCACGGAGGCGACTGGCCGCTGCCTACCGAACACAGCAGTTAGATAATGATGGTGGCTTTTTTTTTAAAGATTGTATTTATTTATCTTTAGAGGGGAAGGGAAGGAGAGAAGGAGAGAAATAACAATGCATGGTTGCCTTCCTGGGTCCCCTACGGAGAACCGGCCTGCAACCCAGGCATGTGCCCTGACTGGGAATCGAACCGCCATCGTGTGGTTCGCAGGCCCAGGCTCAATCCACTGAGCTACACCAGCCAGGCCTGATTGTGACTTTTTCACGGCAATCCCCGTCATGGGTTATTAACAGTTATAATGTACAATGATATTCCACTAAATTCAAACTTCAAGAGTTTGGGTTCATTCAATTATAAAGATATTAAGTAAATTGATTATCCCTGAAAATTGATAACTACCACTTGGTACCAATAAGGAGCTCAGAGAAATCATCAGTCAGCATTTACATAAATGGAACACTTTTATTTGGGAATCAATAGGAACTACTGAATTTTAGGGAAAGCTCATTAAATTTTTTGAAAGAAAAAAACGGTTATTGCTAGTAATCAAAACAACTTAGAAGCATTTAGTGGCTAGAAAATCAAAGACTAGAAGTGGCTATAAGTCAAAGATTGAAAAATATCCTGAGGCATAAGAAGTAAATTAACTTAAAAATGTTTGTTTTATTGTTTATAACACTGTATGTTATATTTATAACACTTATGAAACAACAGTGTTACATATAACACTATTTTTTAGTCCTTGTTATAAATTGTTCATTCTAAAATACAAATTCAGAAAAATAAGATCATATATATGTATATGTCAATTCTCTGTGTCATTTTCTGAGAAACAATGCTTATTACATAAAAATATAAATATTTGTATTCCTAACTATGTAATATCCTACTATGGTAGCATACAAATTTCAAAACATTTGGATTGTTTTATCCATGTACCTATAATATTTAGTGAAGGGAGTATGGAGAAAAATCTGATTGAGATAAAGGCACAAAAATGCAATAAAATAGAAAGAAAATAAGTACATTCTTTGAGAGTCTTTCTTAATCACACTAAAACACTAAAATAACCTCTTTCTATTAAAGGATTTGTTAACATATAATCCTTAAAGCTATGTTCAGCTGGTGTGCAATACATCACACCTTCAATTAAATACTGAACCCTTTAAACTATTTTTTATTAAAATAATGGGCAACACATTCTTGTGCTGTATATTTTTGTGCTGTAAAAGGATTAAACTGATGATAGCAAAAATAAATATCAAGAACAGAACAAATAAAAAAATTAACTGCACAAAAGAAGAAAAACCTAATATTTGAGCTAATAAAATAAAAGCTCATAAAGGCTTAGTTATAGGCACAGGTAAACCATCATTAGCATAAAAAGTTCCACTGAAAATGTGAATATTTTAAAATTTATTTTAATTTCTAAGTTAAATAAATATTTTAATTTAGAAATAGAATATTATTTATCTTTAGATTATTTAAATAGAAACACAAGCCAACTAAACTCATATGAAAGTGTAAAATACAATATGCTGATTTATTTAAAGCTGTTAAAACACTGATACAAATTTTTTTGCCTTTTTTAAATTGTTCTTCAAGTACAGTTTCTCCATTTTCCCACCATCACTTTCTCCTGCCCCACTCACCCCCACCTACTACCCTTAATCCTTCTCCTCTTTGGCTTTAAGAAAAAGAACTGATAAATAGGTTTCTTTTTGTTTAGGTTTTAGTTACTTTCCCTATTATGAAATCTACTTTTGTTCTTTTATATATTGAAAGCATTTAATAGATATTTATTAAATAAGTGCACTAATGAATCAAATTAATTTTCAATGAACGAATATGTTAGCTCATCCTCCAAATTCATGTTTTAAAGAGTCAGATTCCTATTTATAGATTATCTAAGTGTGGCTTTCCAATTCATAATAATTGCCCCATTTTTATTAATAAGCATATGTGGAAACTTTTACAGGAGACCTTTCTACTGTCATTCTTACACTAGCAATATGTATGTATAATATTAAATAAAATATATTCCAAGTATATATCGTTTTAACAGCAACCTTTTTAAAATATTACTTTTTGATTTCAAAACATTTTATCAGATTTCAGTATCAATTATATTTTCAAATATAAATAAGACAACTTTCTTTTTCTATAGGAGTCCTTTTCATGTCCATTAAATACACTGTTCAGTTAATGGATGAAAAGGAATTAAAGTATTAATGTGAGCAGCAGTGTACTCATTATTGGTTTTGATTAACAAAGTTTCTCATGAAGATATGCAAACTCTATTTTATCCAGCTTTACAAATAGGATCAAAATTATCTGTTTAATTCCTTCATTATACACATAGCTAGATCTATCTTATGCTGTGAATTCACATGCTAAAATTTTAACAAACCATTATTTAAAATGTATCTTTCTCTCTGCTGTATAGAATTCCATTGTGTATATGGTACCTCAATTTTTTGATCCATTCATTTACTATGGGCACCTAGGTTGCTTCCAACTCTTGGCTATTGTAAATTGTGCTGCTATGAACATTGTGGTGCATAGGTTCTTTGAAATTGATGTTTTAGGAAGGAGCTACTACCCTTTGCAACAACATGGATGGAACTGGAAAGCATTATGCTGAGTGAAATAGGCCAGGTGTTGAAAGACAAATACCATATGATCTCACCTTTAACTGGAAGCTAAACAACAAAACAAACAAGCAAGCAGAATAAAAACAAAGACAATGAAATAGAGAACAAGGGGACAGTGACCAGAGGGGAGAAGGAAGGGAATTTAACGGGAAAAAAGGGGAGGGATTTGGAGGAACAAATCTGAAGGACACAGGGATGAGAACTAAGGGGGGTGGAAATGGGAGGGAGGTAGGGAACATGGGGTGGGGGGGCTGGGATGGGAGAAATAGACAAAAAACTGTACTTGAAAAATAGCTAAATAAAATTATTTTAAAAAAAACAATAAATAAAACTTAAAAAATTCATACCAGAAAAAAATAAAATAAAATAAAACATATCTAAAAGACTCATGTAATACTTCAGAGTCATAATCCATCAAGACCACTGAAGTTACTATAACTAATCATTACATATGCAGGAACCGCAGGTATTAGGGAAATATTTAAATATTTTTTGTTAAAAAATAATTTAAAAGCCAATACTGCATTGTTACAAACAAAATTGTGGTGGTAAAAAGTCAAAAAAAGTTATCTATCTGGCACTTACTACTTAGAAAAGAAAGCTTTGGGGAGGTCAAGTTTAAGGTAAATCCAGCATAATTATATTCAGTAAACAAATATATATATATATAATTTTCATTTTTGTATTGAATATATGTTTGCGTATTAAAATTTCAACATGATTAGAAAAGTTAATAAGGATTATACCCACTATTTGCTAAGGCAGCAGTTCCTAACCTCTTTGACACCAGTGGGTGAGGGGAGGAGGCAGAGCTCAGGCTCTGGCTAATGCCAGCGACCTCGCCCACCGCTCACCTTTTTTGTGGCCCAGTTCCTGACAGGCCATGGGCCAGTACCAGTCTTCTGTCAGCCCAGGGTCCTGGGACCCCTGTTCTAGGTATATGTGGTAAGACAGAGTGCACTACAAACAAAAATTGACTTTCTACCAATCATCAATTAGTAAATGAATTAGCAGCTTTGCTCACATAGTAGAAATCTAGTTTCTCATTAGAAAACTGAAATTATGAATATTAAATATTTAAATACTGTGACTATTTTGAAAACTAATATTAATATACATTTGCAATTCTGAAATACAGTTTATAAAACAATTATTTTTATTTATTATAACTAGAGATTAAAAAAGGACTACTCAAGTCTAATTCCTACACATAAAAGTAGTTTAATTCTCTTTATGTAAACCATTAGCAAATATTCCATTGTGTTTGAAACAATACAAACATCAAAATTAATAAAAAGGCACACCAAATGAATAAATTGAAGGTAGACTTTTAGAATATATATACTTATAAAGAAGTATTTCTTTTTTATCTTTGAGTAAAAAGTTCATGCTTATTTGATATCCTTGCAGACTTTGATGTAAATCAAAAATTAAAAAGTCAAAACTCTGGTTTAGCTGTTATTTTACTATTAAAAACTACTTAAAAACTAACATACACACTAAAAAATACCAGCACACTAAGAGCTAGAGCATTCTAATAAAGGTTTCATTTCACTTAAAAGTGTTGAATGTACAATTTTAATCAGATAAACTAATATATTAAAATGTGCAAATCCAGCTAATATGTGCCATATTTTCCTTGTTAATAAAATGCAAAATAGAAAAAGTTAGGAAGCATTTACAAAGGTAACCTACTCAATTTAATCAAATTCTCTTTTAAGACAAACAAGCAATCAGAAAAAAAAACAACAACCAAAGACACTGAAATAGAGAACAAGGGGACAGTGACCAGAGGGGAGAGGGAAGGGAAGTTAAGGGGAAAAAGGGGGAGGAACTCAGAGGAACAAATAGGAAGGACACAGGGATGAGAACTAAGGGGGGTGGAAATGGGAGGGAGGTGGGGAGCAAGGGGCGGGGAAGGCTGGGATGGGAGAAATAGACAAAAAAACTGTACTTGAAAAATAACTAAATAGAATTAATTAAAAAAAGAAGATTAAAGAATATTATCCATGGTCTCCCTTATTCTGTTGTTACTGAGGTACTCGAATAGTTGTTTTTTGTTTGGGACAAACTTTGAGATTTGCTGTTTCTTTTGATACAATATTAATGGTCCATTCCACCTTAATATACCATAACTCTAGAACTAACAGGTTTATAATAATTGCTTAAGCTTTACACTTGCTAAGCATTGGAAGGCTTCACTCACCTTGTTCAAGTGGTTGGCTTTTAGTTGAAGTGGTTTTCATCTTGAGCGCCTCCCTAACAGACATGTCACAGCAGGAGCCTTTGTTAGTGTCTTGGTCACTGTCAGCCTGATCACTGTCCCCGTGCCCACTGTCTCTCAAGCTGGCTCTTTCTGGGTCCTTAAACGTGGAGCTACTGAAATACATACAAAGAAAAAGAAGAGAAAGTGTTGTCTCTACAAGTTGGACTCTGAAGTGTTGTCTCTTGCAAAGCAATTTTGACATGAATGCAAATGGGGAAGCTGAGAAAGTTATTTAATAGGCCTTACCTTTGAACAAACTGCTGCCTGCTGCCCATGTAATTGGGCTCTGCGGGAAAATTGTCTGTCTGTGAAAGAGAAGGAAAAAAATACGTATAGTTGTACACTGGACAAATCTCCTGCAGAGCAACAAGATTTCCTAGTGGAAAAATGATTAATAATTCAAAAATTCCCTTTAATCTTCAGATTTGTACATTTTAATTAAATTGGAAATTGCTGACATGTAATTATGTACTCAGAACAATTAAATGATTCCGGTCCACAAATTACCTGTTAAAGTAAACAATGAGCCTGTCATAACTGGCATTCTCAGTTAGCACCAGAATGGATAGCACTGTGTTGTTTCATTATTCAGATATTAAGATTGAATATTTGTGGGAGGAGTAGAAAAATGACCTAATTTCTTCATATTAAAAGTATGAATTATTTAATAATATCCATTTTTAACATAATTACATAATCCGCTGGGAATCTATGCCTCCCTTGATGTAATATCATTTTAAAGTCATCCACTCCTCAATGAAGAAATTCAGGCCTTTTCTTTCAAATTACCAGAGAGGAAGTAGAACAGTATATGGGAGGGATACACACAATACCATATACAGATGATGTATTAGAGAATTGTATGCCTGAAACCTATATAATTTTATTAAATAATGTCCCCCCAAAATTCAATAAAATTAAAAAATACATAAACATGGCACATATAATTCATTCTCATCTACATCCTTACTATAGAAATTAAATGCAAACAACACCAGGAAAAATGTTACTTCCTGGTTATTAAAACAAAGTAAAAAAAAGCAAGAGATAAAATGTTACTTAAAACATGGAGAGTAAAGACATTGAGAAACCAGGCTTGTTTTCGTGGTTGTTTTTACTGCTTCCAAACTGACATGGAGATCTGCCAAAAAGAACTGAATTCTCCTTGTATCATAGAACAGAGTCTTTTGGGAGAAAGAGACTAGATCTTTCATAAATCTCCCTATACTGTACATTCATATGCATTACTTCTTCTTGCAGCTGACTCCAGGACAAAGGTTCTCTTGTTTTCTGCATCACTTCGTATCACACCATTATGCTCTGAAGCAGCTATGGGTTCCTACAAGATCATCCAGCATGCAAGTATCAGTAGCACATGAGCATGCAATTCATGAAGCAGAGGGCCAAAGGTAAGGCTTAATATAGCGCAATGTGTGTTTTCTGTATAAATAAGGTTAATTTAAACTAACAGTACTCTTTTTCCCCATATAATAATTTAAATTATTTGGTTTTTTTTAACTGTTACTGGAAAAAAAACAAGAAACATGTTAAGAACAACAGCTTAAAGCATTAAGTTTCAATGTCTATTAAAGTTTTGAGACTGAAACATTCATGAATATTTTCATTCATTATCTTCTGTTGTTTTTCAAATGAATTTTATCAAAATAAATGTAAAGGTAAGGGTAAAGAAGGTAATTTGGTTCTCACACCTAATCTGCTTTCACTAGTAGTTGGTAGCAGATATTTTTCATTAACATGCTTTACTTTTGTCGACATCCTGTGAAGCACCTTATTTTTTTTAATGACAAACTATCAGTTTTAAGGATAACTTGAAGACTTAATAAAAATAGTAATGAAAATCACCACCAGGGGCAAAAAGTTTTGCAAAAGTGTTTTTCCAATATTTAAAACTATAAATACTTAGAAACTCCACCTTTTAATTTAACAAAATCTAGTTCATCTTTTGAATTGGGCAAAAATATGGATGCAAACTAATGCCGACGTCAGTTAAAAGCTAAGGAGAATGTCTTACATTTCAGAAAAAGAGAATGCTGGGTATTTTGGAGACAGTAAAATGTAACCTGAAAGTGGAAACTCTAGTTAGAATATATAAGTGCAATTATAATAAGTAATCTTGTGATTTTAATGGATTTAATTAGGTGAAGCCTCTTAAGAAGTAGATCTATACTCAGTCTGACTCAGAGAGACACATTTGGGAAACTTTTCTTTCCCTGTGCTAATCAGGATAGTATCTAAAAATGTTTTCAAGTTATTAAAGTTCTAAGGAGTTTTAATAAAATAAGAGATTTAAACTACAAAATAAAGTATGTCTTCTCATTGATCAAAGAGCTGTTTTTAAATATATTCATGTGAAAAAGCATGTGTGTATGCATGTTTTCATGTATGTATCTGTGTCTCATGAACACTGGGAAATGGTATTGCTACCAAATAGTCTTTTGATGGAAACACAGAAACGGAGGAAGTTAGAAAAGTGACTTTTAAGGGAAAGAAAGAGAAGAAAAATAACAGCAGTGAGAAAGGCAAGAAAAAAATAGAGGAAGAACAAAAAGGGAAAAACAAAACTATAAATGAGAAAGAATTAGAGAGGGAGTTAAAACAAAAAAGATGGGTTTATTATTGTAAAATTTCACTAAGTACAATTTTAAAAGTTTGTAACTTGATCCGTAGTAAAGTATCAGAGGTCTACTAATAATGCCAGTATCCATCCATTAAAATAGCTAGAAACAGATACATAGAGCACACCTGCATATCCCAGAGGACAGGGGAATGGGAGGGACTGGAAAAGATTAGTAGCCTTTGGGACTGTATATGCATATATGCATAGCCCATGGACACACACAACTATCTGGTAAAGGCCAGTGGGGGTGGGGAGTGGGGGGCATCTGTGACAGTGTCAACAATGTCTGTGACCGTGTCAACAATAAAAATAAATAGGTAGGAATGTGAGAGATTGTGTGTGTGTTTATAATTATCATAAGGAAATAGCCATTTGGCCTTAACAAACATAACTAATTCACTCTAAAAAAACCCATACTGGTTTTATTAGAGAAAATAACATTTTCATTATCCAGGCTCCAGGGGTGTCAGAAAACTCATTTAAAGTAATCTGAATAGAAAATAACAATATTTGCATAGAAAAATGGAAAATAAGGAAAAAATAGATATGTGTATCAATATACAACATCGTTTAGAAGTAAAATGGCTTTCAGATATTTTTCAACACTGTACTCTAAAAACTGTGTTCTACCTAGTACCTTTATAAATTATCTTTTTTTATAATAAATTTTATTTAGTTACTTTTCAAGTACATTTTTTATCTGTTTCTCCCATCCCACAAACCTGTCTCCCCCCTCCCTCCAATTTCCCCTCCCCCAGTCCTCATCCCTGTGTCTTTCATACTTGTTCCTCAAAATCCCTCTTTTAAGTCTAGAAAAAAAAACAAATTTAAAGTAACACACTTGTAGCTTTTTGTCAGCAGAGTAACTGAATGTGAATATTTATAACTCCTGAAAACTTCATCTTCTTCCATACAAACTAATCTCTAAGATATTTCCCCTTCATATTCAATTTGAACAGTCTCAACTATTATTTTTAAAAACATATAGTTTATTATAAAAATATGGACCTTGAATTGGGTAATTACAGAATAGATCTGAAGTAGACATTTTAGATACATGTTTACCCTATTTCAAAGTCAGGAATACATTAAAAGGACAGAAGTTTGAGTTTTTTTGTGATTATTTGCTCACAATAGAAAAGATTTGAACTTATAAAACAGTATGCTCTCCTATTTTGACTTTGCCTGTTGCTTATTTTCTTTGATAAAAATAATAATAATTTAGATGATTTTACTCTTTTTATACAAAAAACACAAAGAAATAAAAAAGTTTCCAAGTAAACCCACAAAGTACATATGAATAATTTCTTTAATTATTTCCCTTTATGTTTTTCCTAATAGTACTCAGTAAATTGATAAATTATATTCCAAATCAGAATTTTAATCAGCAGTGGTCATAGTCAAGTGTCATCTATAATTTGTTCATCCTTTTAGAAATATAAAAACACATCATGATTTTCTAAATGAGTGTGTCTGAGAAAGTGGAAAGGGATCCACTACTGAAACTGAGTCCAGCGGCTGACATTGGGAAGGCTCTTCATTTGTGGTTGTGGATGAATTTGATATAGTCACTTACATGCACCTAAAGAAGTTGTGAAAATGGATGGTAAAAGGAGTCAAAATAGTGTTTTTAAACTATTAATGTATTTCAGTTAGAAATTTTAAATATGTATCTAACGTTTGACAAATTCATCATTTATTTAAATGATCAAATTCTCAGCCTTAAAATAAAACTTTTTCAATTGTATAAAGGGCATCTGCCAAAAAAAAAGGTATAACTAATGTAATACTAGTGAAAGACTGAAGAATTTTACAACTTCTATTAATCATTGTACTAAAAGTCTTGTACTAAAAGTACTAAAAAAAATAGAGGACACACATTAGAAATGAAGAAAAAAATTACACACAATGTTATTGTACCCACAAATAACATTATGTAGATAGAAAATAGGAAGGAATCAAAACAAAGAAAATTTCTTAGAACTAATAACTAAGTTAAACAAAGTTGCCATATTCAAAGTCTCAAGCAAAAATTAATTATATTTTTGTATTCTAGCTATAAACTGGTCAGGATCAAAATTTCAAAAGCAATACATACATAATAATTCCATGAAGATCAAATACTTAGCAAATAAGTACTTAGAAAAAAACAAGTATAGAATCTGTATGTTGAACATTACAAAATCTGATTAAATAAATCAAAAAAGTCGACATAATGGAGAGATATATCATGTTTATTATCAAAGACACAACATAGTAAAGAGGTCAATGATCCTCAAGTAATCTATACATGTAGCATAATTCCATTCAAATTCCCAGCACAATTTCCTGTAGCTACTGACAAGGATTTAAATTGTGTATGGAAAAGTAAAAGAATTGTAATAGCCAAAATAATTTTTAAAAAGAAGAATAAAGTTGAAGGAGTTACATTAATGTATTTTAGGGGGCAACTTAAAAATACATTTTATTTAAAAAAAGACTCAGCCCTGGCTAGTGTAGCTCAGTGGATTGAGCACGGGCCTGTGAAGCAAAGGGTTGCCGGTTCAATTCCTAGTCAGGGCACGTGCCTGGGTTGCGAGCCGGATCCCCAGTAGGGGACACATGAGAGGCAACCACACACTGATGTTTCTCTCCCACTCTTTCTCCTGTCCCCTCTCTCAAATAAAT